GCGGGCGGTGGTAGCCGTTGGCCACATCATGGGACCTCCTCAAGTCTTTGTGATGATGATGGGTGCCAATGGGACCAAATTATGTCCCCGTGGCCACCATGGGAAGGGCCACAGTAGCCATTGGCAACGTCATGGGACCTCCCCAAGTCTTTGTGATGATGACGGGTGCCAACGGGACCAAACGATGTCCGCATGGCCACCACGGGAAGGGCACCCAGAGCAGTGGCCATATCATGGGACCTCCCCAAGTCTTTGTGATGATGACAGGTGCCAACGGGACCAAATGATGTCCCCATGGCCACCACGGGAAGGGCCACAGTAGCCGTTGGCAACGTCATGGGACCTCCCTGAGTCTTTGTGATGATGACGGGTGCCAGCGGGACCAAACAATGTCCCCGTGGCTACCACAGATGAGCTGTAGTAGCCATTGGGCCATGTCATGAGCCATGTCAAGTCTTTGTGTCCACCTTCAACCCCAATTGTCACCTCTCTTTGCTCCCATGGCTTCTCCATGATCCAATGGGAGGCACCAGTGGGGCAAACCCACGTCCCCCTTGGCCACGTCACGGGCCCTCCCCAAGTCTTTGTGTTGACAGTGGTCACCAGTGGGGCCAAACCACATTTTTGTGGCCACCACAGAAGGGCTGTAGTAGCCATTGGCCGTGTTGTGGACCCTTCCCAAGTCTTTGCACTGGTGATGGGCACCAAAAAGGCCAAACCATACCCCACGGCTACCCCAGAAGAGCTGTGTTAGCCGTTGGCCACATCATGAGTCCTCCCCGAGTCTTTGTGTCCACGTTTGTCCCCAGTCCCGTGGCTTTTTGCCTACATGGGTTCCCCACAAGCCAACAACGGTCACTGATGGAGCCAAACCATGTCCTCATGGCCACCACAGAAGGGCCGTAGAGTCACTGGCCACATCATGGGTCCTCCCCAAGTTCTTTACAGTGACGATGAGTGCCAGTGGGCCAAACTACGTCCCCATGGATACCACGGAAGGGCTGTAGCAGGCACTGGGCATGTCATGGCTCCTCCTGAAGTCTTTGTGTTGATGATGGATGCTGGTAGGGCCAACCCACAGGCACGTGGCCAGCGCAAAAGAAGTGTAATGACCACTAATAACCACTGGCCACATCATGGATCTCTCTGAAGTCTTTGTATTGATGACGGGTGCCAGCAGGGCAAACCATGTCCCTGTGGCCACCACAGCAGGGCTGTAACAGCCATTGATGATGTCCTGGAGCCTC